AAATAGATCACAACACAACAATTCTGGGTGACTTTAACATGCCTCTTCCATCAATAGGTATATCTACCCAACAAAACCTAAACAAAGAAACTATAGAATTCAATAATACAATCAATAACTTAGACTTAACTGACATCTGTAGACATTATTATCCATCAATGAGCGAATACACTTTCTTCTCAGCAACACATGGATCCTTCTCTAAATAAAATACACCATATGTTATGCCACAAAGCAAATCTTAGTAAATTATTCTTAGTAAATTATATTGGTAAAAAATACCATTCTATAATGGAATGAAATTAGAAATCAATGATAAAATAAAAAATAAACGCTACTCCAATACCTGGAGACTAAGTAATACACTATTGAATGAACAATGGGTTGCAAAATATATCAAAGAGGAGATTTAAAAATTCTTAGAATTAAATGAGAACACTGATACAACATATCAAAATCTCTGGGACACTATGAAGGCAGTGCTAAGAGGAAAGTTCATTGCATGGAGTTCATTCCTTCAAAGAAGAAAAAGTCAACAAATAAATGACCTAACTTTACATCCCAAAGCCCTAGAATGAGTAGCACATTTCAACCCCAAAAGTAGTAGGAAACAGGAAATAATTTAAATTAGAGCTGAAATCAATGAAATTGAAACAAAAAAAATGAATAAACCTGTCAAAACAAAAAGTTGATTCTTTGAAAGAAAGAAATAAAATTGATAAACCATTGCCATGCTAACTAAGGAGAGAGAAAACTCAAGTTACTAACATCTGTGATGAAAAAAAGAAATATTACAATGGACACTACAGAAATTCAGAAGATAATTAGAAATTATTTTGAAAATTTGAACTACAATAAAATAAAAAATATTGAAGACATTGACAAATTTCTAGAAGCATATGGTATGCCTAAACTAAATCAGGATGATATACACAATTGAAACAGAACAATTTCAAGCAAGGAAATAGAGGATGCCATCAGAAGTCTACCATCCAAGAAAAGACCATGACCAGATGGCCAAATTTCCATTATGTCAGATTAGGCCTCAGCTTTCTTAATAAAACTCCTATAGCACATGAATTAAAATCAAGAATCAATAAATGGGATGGATTCAAACTAAAAAGCTTCTCAGCAAAAGAAAGAAGCAGTGAGGTGAATAGAGAGCCTGCAGAATGGGAGCAAATCTTTACCACAAGCACATCAGATACAGCACTAATCTCCAGAATACCTAAAGCACTAAAAAACCTTAATACCAAAAAGAACAAATAACCCAATCAATAAATGGGCCAAGGAACTAAACAGACACTTCTCAGAATAGGATATACAATCAATCAACAAACATATGAAAAAAATGTTCAACATCTCTAGCAATTAGAGAAATGCAAATCAAAACTACTCTTACTAAGACTTCATCTCACTCCAGTCAGAATGGCAGCTATTAGGAATATAAACAACAATAAGTGTTGGCGAGAATGTAGAGGGAAAGGCACACTCATACATTGCTAGTGGGACTGCAAATTCGTGCAGCCAATCTGGAAAGCAGTATGGAGATTCCTTTGAAAACTGGGAATGGAACCACCATTTGACCCAGTTATCCCACTCTTCGGTTTATACACAAAGGATATAAAAACAGCATACTACAGGGAAAAGCCATGTCAATGTTTGTAGCAGCACAATTCCCAATAGCTAAATTATGGAATCAACATAGATGCCCTTCAGTAGATGAATGGATAGGGAAACTTTGGTATATATACACAATGGAATACCACTCAGCATTAAAAGAGAATAAAATCATGGAATTTTCAGGTAAATGGATGAAATTGGAGAATATAATGCTAAGTGAAGGAAGCCAATCCCCAAAAACCAAAGGCTGAATGTTTTCTTTGATATGAGGATGCAGACGCATAATGGCAATGGGGGGGGGAGCATGGGAGGAATGGAGGAACTTTAGATAGAACAAAGGGGAGGACGTGGAAAGGAGGGGGCAAGGGAGTAGGAATGAAGGTGGGAAGAGTTAGACATCATCCCCTAAGTACATGTATAAGACACGAATGGTGTGAAAATACACTGTGTACAACCAGTGTCTTGAAAAATTGTGCTCTGTATATGTAATATGAAATGAATTGCATTCTGCCATCATGTATAACAAATCAGAATAAATTAAAAAATTATTAAGAGAGCATTTAAGACCCTTTGAACACCATGAAAAGTACAAAAGTCCACATTGTCAGAACACCTGAATGAGAGTAGATGTAAGGACACAGAAAACACATTCATTGAAGTCATAGCAAAAAACTTTCCTGATCTCAGGAAAAATGTAGAGGATCATCTACAGGAAACTTACACGACCCCCAAATAGACATTGTCTGAAGAGATATTTACCATGGTAGATTATCTTCAAACATCCAGTTACAAGCCAGAGGAAAAAACCCAAAATCTACAAGACAAAGGCATCAATGTGAAGTCAAGCCCTTGTCCTAGAACAGTGGAGCAGTGGCCACAGTGGGCTAGAGCATGGGCTGTGAGCATGGGCCATGACAGCCATGAGCCCACCCAAGAGGCGGCCCAGCCCAGGCCAGGAACAGAACTCTGCTCCACACAGTGCTCAGCCCAGAACCCCCAAGCATCCACCATCTCATCACTTCAACTTCAAGCCTCCACAGCAGCAGCAGCAGCAGCAGCAGCAGCAGCAGGAAAACCCGAGTGCTGCAGACCTGAATGGGACTGCAGGGCTAACCAACTGATTAGCATAAATATGAACCAACAGCACTGACCCAAGTGCTACATAAGCCCCTAGACTAGAACACTCAGGTGGAAACACCTGTTGGGGGCTCCTCTTGTTTCTCTTCTTCACACTTGAGTAAATCCTGCTTTTTCACACTGGGCTACTTTTCTCCTCACTCTTCAGATTGTGAGACAAGAACACCAAAAGAATCTAGTTGTGACCTGCTGGATTAATTCTGTTGCAACTCTGGAGGGCATGAATCCCATTAAGAACTGCAATGCCAACAACTGCAATATGGTACACATAGGGTACCAACAAGAGTAGGGCTTTCTTGGCCGGGACCCACAGAGGGTAGCTCTGGTAGGCATCCCCTGTTGTGATCAGCTGCTAACACCAAATCCAACTTTCTTGGTGGCAGAGGCCTGCAGCTTACACAGTCTCCACCCACTAACAGAAGCTGAGAACTGAGTTTTTTCTCAAACTCCCATTTCAACACAACACTTAAGGTTATCCCTGTTAGACAAACAGCAGTTTTTCTCAGCAAAAACAGGGCAGGAGGGAATGAATTGACATATTCCAAGTATTACAAGAAAATAACTGCCAACCAAGATTACTATACCCAGCAAGGTTATTCTTCAGATATTAAGGGAAAGTAAAGTTCTTCAAACCAAGCAAAAACTCAGGGTATGTGGTACCAACTCCAAGGGATCTCATGCTCTCTCAGATCAATCAGATGAAAGCACAAGTGAGACAGGAACAAAATTTTTGGTTCTAAGTGTCAAGCAAAGGTGAGTAAGCATGTCATGGATAGAAATTCTAGGGTGACTCAAATAAACGACAGTTGTGCACATCTTTTATGACATCTACAGGGTAGGCAGGGTGGAGTTTCAGCTGTGCCTTGCTCAGCCTCATGACACCTCTTTATGTGTTTCATGTCTCCTTGTCATCTTAAGACTCTACCCTAGAGGGTAATTTTAAATTCGGTGGATGTAGTAAAGGTAAGTATAGGCTATGATAGGGACTATTCTAAACATGTGCCTGACTCTCAACACCTGGACTTTTCCCCTTATCATCTGGAAAACTTCCTCATTGGACTTTGCAGCAGAGTCATCATCTGTGGGTTTGATTTGAATGCTCTTAGTTTTCATGGCTCTGGTTTCCTTTTTTTCCACATTTTTTATTGGTGCACTATGATTGTACACATTAATAGGCTTTGTTGATACATATCCACACACATACACACAGTATAACAATATAATTTGGCCTGTATCTCTCCCCAGAAATCACCCCACTCCTCACCCTCCACTCCTTGGTCCCCTTCCTCTACTGATCTCCCTTTGATTTTTTAGGAGATCCACCCCCCAATTTTGTTTTCTTTTTTTCTCCTTTGCTTCTGCATATGGGAGAAAACATATGAGCCTTCACCTCATGAGCTTGACTTTTTTCACTTAACATGGTGGTCTCAAGTGCCATCCACTTTCCTGAAAATGCCATATTTCAGGGTTTTTTTATGGCTACATAAAACTTCATTATGTGTATATGTGCCACAATTTCTTTATCGATTCATCCATAGTTTCATACTTTGGCTATTGTGAATTGTGTTGCTATATATGTAAGTATGCAAGTGTCCCTGAAATAAAATGACTTTAATTCATCAGGATAAATACCAAGAAGTGGTATAGATACGTCATGTGGTGACTCCATTCCTAGTCTTTAAAGGAGCCTCCATAATGATTTCCATAGTGCTTATATAAATGTTTTATTACGTTAATGAAGGAAAAGTAACTTCAGGTTTCCTTAGTGACTATTCTATACATATTCTTGACTCTCAACACCTGGACTTCACCCTTTATGGTCTACAAAATGTCCTCATTGGGTTTAGGAGCAGGATAATGATCTGCAGGTTTGATTTTAATGGTTTTATTTTTCTTGGCCCTGGATTCTTAGTACTTATGTTGACCACACTGTCTTTGAAGGCTAACCTTTCCACTTCCCATCTCTAGGTATATTACCCAGAATATCTCACAGCTTTGAAGACCAGTTCAGTTTTCAACTCCAAATTTTCTAGAAGGTGCATCTTCCACATAAGACTGAAGCCTAGCTTATCTGTCTCACATTCATGACCACCAGACCTGCCTTACAAATGATGCTTAGGGAGGTCTTCCATTAAGAACTGAAGGAAAGACAGCTATCATCATGAAAGCATGTGAAAGCATAAATCCCAATATGAGAGCAGATACACAAAAGAGATAGAAAACAATCAGACCTTATCAATACAGTAATACTTATCTGTCAGTCCATGGTCACATGGCTCCATCTCTTATGGCTTGTAGCTAGGCAAAACATCATGGTGGGGAGCACAAGCAAGAGCAAAATGGCTCACATAGTGGTGGCTGAGAAGCAAATAAAAAAGAGAGAGAGAATGGGGCTAGGGTCCTAATATACCCTTCAAGGGTACATCTCCAGTGATTTCACATACTCAATTTAGGAGACCCCAGCTCCTACAGTTTCTACCACTTCCTAATGGTACCATCAGCTAGGGACCAAGGCTTCAACACACAAGCTTTAAAGTTGAAACTGTAATCTACATACCCAACAGAATAGTTTACAATTTCCAATATGAATATTTCAAATGAATGATGTTCATCATTTTGGGACTAAACTGTGAGTTGCAACAATACAGTTGCCAAGTTGAATGAAAGGCTGATGGGATTTTAAAGGTATTTACTTTGTATTTAAAGTTAAAATCCATATTGCTACTTTTCTAGTAACTTAATTATGAATATGAATAATACTCAACTAGTTTTTCATGCTTAGAAAAGAATAAAAGTCAAGAATTCTGGTCTGTTACTAACTTTAACAATAATATTGATCATCATTTTTCTATGACATGGATCTGTGATGCTAACATCAGTTATAGAACATTTTCATTAAACCAAGACAATATAATCACCTCTCATATAAACAATATGTTTATCATCTATTTTCACCTTTAAGACATACATACTGGGCATGTATGACCTGTACTGGTCAGCATGAGCTGACAAAGAGTTGGCACTGCTTAAACAACCCTGTACTGTCTCTAGAGATCTTGGAATTAGTGCCCACAAGAATATCCTACAGGGAGTCAAGCAAATGGTCATTTTCCATTGATCTTTTATCATCAGTAAGATAAAATCAGTTTAATGTTTTTCTTTAAGATCAGTCTGTACAAGGATATCAAAGAGGTTCATATCTGGAGAATATTTTTTCTGATAGGATATTCATAATTTCTCTTTTGTGTCTTAAACATTTATATTAGTAGCATATGATATTCTGTACATTGCTATGCAAAAATAAGTGTCTTTTATGGTCAAATTTCACTAAAATACCTTGCATTTCTAAGTATGTTACATATAGATATTGAGTTTCAAATGTACTACACTTCTATTTTGTACGTATCATTCTTTATGATGTATGACTTCCTGAAACAGAGGTCCAACATCTATTTATCATGGTGAAATTCTTTTTTCACACTTCTTGCAACTTTATTTTTTGTTTATTATATTCAAAGCAGAATTGATGATATTTGTTATTGCCAACTTCATTTTACTTTGATTCAAAAATGTTAAAATCTTATAAAGTATTAACAATGTATAAATGTGATTTTCCTCTAATTATTTTACAAAAAAAGTGAAATTTATTCCTTCCTTCCAAATTGTACTGACAACATTAAATTATATTTGGCCTGAGATGACTTTATATTTGAGTCCTTGGTGACAACCTACAAGTTAGCAGTTAAACTGACAGCTTAGTTTCTTAAAAACAATATCTAAGATTCAGGCAATTACAGAAGCTTATGTTCTTCACTGTAGAATTGTAATGAACTAAGCTTTCTTTGCATCAGATGAAGTGTTTTTGTGCTTCACTTTAGTTCATAAATATTATCACGTAGCACTCTATCCTTGCACATGTTCTGATTCTAAGGGCTTCCATGTAAGACATTCATTTCAATAATTTGTTTTGATTTTTTCCCCTTTGCTCAGATAAATTCTACTGTATTTAACTTATCAGAGGCTTTTTCCTTTAAATATTAACCATGGAATAAAAACTAAGAGATCATTCATCTTTAAATTATTATGAGGGTATGATTTATGTTTTATAATCTATTTTCACCTTTAAGACATACATACTGGGCACGTATGAGCTGACCAGAGTTGGCACTGCTTAAGCAACCCTGTACTCAGCTGTATTACAGACACAGAACCACCCTCTGGGTAGGTCCCTGATTTGCTATGGGAAAATTCACCGGCTCAATCTCAAGCCCATCGGGCGCCCTCTGGTGGCCACGCCACTCTAGCAGTTAGGAAAGGCTCTCCCCAAATGTCCCAGCTCACCTATGCAGAAGGGTGGGAACAGAACAGCTGTCCAAAGAAGGGCCCAGACTTTGCGCTCTCTTGGAGGGTTGGTCATCTGCGGTGGCAACTATTGATCTGAGAAGTACAGAGTACAGAAGCCAGAGTACAAGTGTCTCTTCCGCCTAGTGGTGGACCTGCTCACCCAGGTAACCTGCTGCCCTCTTCCTCCCCGGACCTCAATGTCGCCCTCTCACTTTGGTGCAGGAGGATCCTGAAGGACAGAAGTCCGCGCATGCCGCCTCGGGATGCTGCGGACCCCACCCAGGCCTACCTGCGGGAACCCTACCGCTCAGCGTGGCAGTAGCCTTCATGGCTTTAGTCTCCTGGGGGCGCCCACCACCCCTCCCCAGGCACAGGTGAGCGGTTGCTGCTGAGTGCTGCAGGTAGGAAAGGATTCAACCGGCACTGGAGAGGGGACTGTCCATAGCAGGTACAGCATCAGGATTGGTAATCGACACTGGGTGGAGAAGGGGCACTGGGTTAGCTCCTGGATTCTGTCCCTATCCCCCTCCCCCCACTCCTCCACACCCCCGCCCCCGGCATAACGGCCAGGGCTGGTGGCAGTTGGTGTACCTCCCGGAACCAAACCGCTAGGTGGGTGTGGTGGGCAGAGTTTCTGCAATTTCCCTTGTTATTCTCGGATCCTGAGCAGACAGAAATCTCCTTTTATTTCTGAACCCCATCTCGAGGGGCTGAGTTCATGGTCAGTGGCAAATGCCACAAGCTGGACTTAGAAGGTGGAATATGACCCTGTTGCAGAGCCTTATACCCTATACCCTAGTGGCCTGCATCACCAGGTGACATCCACCAAACCCAGCACTGTCTTCACCCAATGGCATTTTCGCTGACCTAAGTATTCTGCCCTCCAAGAGTGTGCAAGCTACTCTCTCCTGGACATAAGGGGGCAAATGTCTCCAGCTAATGGCCAAAACCCAGTCAGTTGTGAAAAGAGGAGGAAGATCCAGAGCCCTTGGGGCTAGGACAGGGGAAGACTCACAACTCTCCTCCCTTTGTGCACTGCCTGGCTCCTGTTGGCATAGCAGAGAGGGGTGGCCTAGTGAGCACCTGCACATGTTTGTGCCTGGCCCTGGGGACAGACATCTACCAGAATTGCACCCCATGCTCTGTCTTGCAGCGACATGCAGGATACTGAAATGGTGGAGTGCAGGCCACTCAGAAGGTCTGAATGATTTGCGAGGGAGCTAAACTGCCTGTTTGATGGCCTTGTCTGGAGTCAGAGCACTGCAGGTTGCCAACTGCCTACCCAAGCTCAGGGTGCCCTCCTTCGACCTCACTAACTTTTCCTGTCTAAGAATCAATAATGGCAGGTTTCTTTCCAGGGTTAGTCCAGATAATCCTGGTAAGCCCTCCGTAATATTCCCAGATTCAGGTTCCAACTGACCTCACAAGCTTTTCTAGTTTTGTTAGGAACTTTTACAGGAAGCACACCTATAATCCCATTAGCTTAGGAAGCTGAGGCAGGAGAATTGCAAGTTCAAAGCTAGCATCAGCTCCTTAGGCCATAAGCTCCTTAGTGAGGCCATAAGCAACTTGGCAAGACCTTGTCAAAAATAAAAAATAAAAAGGAGTCTGGGGATGTGGCTCATTAGTTAAATGCCTGTGGGTTCAATCCCCTATACCATAACAAGAAAAAAAATTTTTTGCAGAATGTCTACTAGTAAGGGGGTTGGTTGGAGAAGCTGTTATTTGGCTTCAGGATCCAGTGGGGTTCCCCTTCTTTAAAGACTATCTTAACCTGCTACCTGACAACACCTCCCACACTCCAGATACACAAAGATTTAAAAGCCAAAAACAGGTGTTTGGAGATGGTAACCATGGGACCTCATCTCATCCTAAATCCCAAATTCTGGGGGTACATTCAGCTTTAGAAATGAGTCTGAATCTCATCCTTCCTCCTAGGGATGATGGAGGGTTGTTCTACTACCCCAGATTCCCCAGGGCACTTAGGACCTCAAGTATGATGAAGTGAACTGGGAACAAAATTCTCTAGCCCAAGGACAAGGCCTTCCACAGCAGGCTGGCCTAACTATGGCCTGATGGGTGTCTTTCCTAGGCAAGAGAGTCCGTGAAGGATATGGGAAATGACAACCCCCAAGACACAGGAGGAAGGAGGGGGGAAAGAAGGCAAAACGTGAACAACAAAACCTGACCAAAAATATCCTTTCCCAGTGAAAAGACAATCCCTGGGAAGAGGGCAAACATTGATCCTTTATTTCCCAGTGACAATGAAGCCACACATTAATCCTGTTCCAGTGACAATATGATGACCCTGGATGAAAAAGATAAGCACTAAGCCCTCAGGTCTGGACCCTCCATCCTTTCCCAGTGAAAACAGTTTTCAGATTTTTACAACGTTTTTCCCGAATGCCCAAACTGACACGCTCTGTTGATGTCTCAAATGATTAGGTCACCTCTCGGAGTCACGTATAAAGACAAAACCTCCTATAACCTGGAGCCATTTTCTACCCAGAAAATGAGCCCCTATAATGCCTGACGGATTGACTCTGCAGCTGAATAAATGGCATCACTGATCCATGAGGTCTGCTGCGGTCTCCATCATCCGTGCTTATCCTCAAGACAGGAGCCTCAGTTTGCCCTACTTGCATGTGCATCAGCCTCATAATTATGTGTACTGGACTTACCTGACCCCCAGGAATGCAGGATAAGATTGTATCCTGCGCAACAGTGGGTAAATTGAGGGACATTGTCAGTCCATGGCAGAAAAAGGGAGACCCCAGGCTCAATGCAGCACCTCCAAGAGGCAGCAACCTGTTGGGCTGCATCAGTGGGTGGTTCTTGGCATACACTGCCCAGGGAAGCTCAGAACCCTGCAGGGTGAGCACAACATTGGAAGGAGCAGGTGCTGGGGGACTTAAAAAATGGGGATGTGAAGGGCATTCTCTGACCTCTGTGAGCTCAGTGTCTGTGTGGGTGTCAGTGGAATCCTCCTATTGAAGATCAGGAAAGAAGCCGTCCTGGGGCGGGCAGAGCCATGTATGGGCACACTATGTAACATTCAGGTGACTGGTGAATGGGAGTGGGGTATTTCTCTGCGGCCCCACTGCCACCTCCCAAATGCAAGCTTAATCCTGGCTCTCTTAGTACCCATTCATGTCCAATCCCTTTCCATCCTTCCCTTGATGTCCTCATTTGATGTCTTATCCTCCTCTGACTCTCCACTGCCTGGTAGCCCTCATGATCCCCTGGGCCCTGGCATGGGATCACAGAAGGCAGACACCCTGCTGCCGCTCCTTACTTGAGGTCCCAGAAACCCTGTCCTATGCTGACACCTAGTGGGCAACTGGAGTTTCAAGATCTTGGGTCAGACAAATGCAGGGTCTGTTCTCCTTCCTGCTCCCCTCCCTGCCTCTCTGCTTATTCTCTCCTCCTCCCTTCCACTCTACCCAGGCCGCCATCTACCAGGCATGGCTGGCCTGGGGGCTTCTCTCTATCCCTCTCTATCCCTCTTTAAGCCAGGTAAAGCCAGTAGTCATGGGGATGGCTAAATCTTTTTTTGTCATCTACATTAATCTGAAAGCAAGAGGGCAATAGGTATTTGGCCAGGGCCTGGGGCTGAGAGTAGCACAACCAGACCAGTTTGTTTTATCTGAGGGGATCTTAACAGGGTGCTGGGAGTTCCCCGCAGGAAATGGTAGTCAGAAGTAGAAGGCCAGGAGACCCCTTGACTACAGGGCCCTATAGGAACTGGTTCTAAACTGTGGATCCCAGAGGGATGCACACTCCTGTTGAATTGGTGGGAATAAGGGTGGGTCCATGTGGTGGGCAGGATCCTAGTGGGCACTGAGTACATGGGGCTGGTTTAGGTGGATGGGTAGAATTGGGCCTGGCTGTGGAACCAGGAGCTGATATGGCCAGAAGGAGCATCAGGTCCCTCAAATCTAGCTAACACATTGGCACCCCTGCTGGGTTGGGGGATGGTGCCCTGGGTGGTGGGACCTCCAGCCCTTGACTGGGACCTAAAACAGCTAGCCTCCTGGGTCAGTCGTTGTCTGGCACTGGCACGGAGGCCCAGGGCTGATGGTACATGACACTGGTTGTGTCTCAAGTCCCAGTATTTGGGACCCCTAAGAGATCTGGGAAGCCTTAAAACAGGGGAATGGCCCAGAGGGGACCTTCATAAATCTGCCCGTGGAGGTGCTGCACATTGTTCCAACTTCTCAGATTTCAGGGAGAGGCAGCCATGGTTTGCATAACATTCTTTCTCCCACACACCCAGGACCTCTCCCACTGTGGCAGTTATCATTTCCTGGTGTCTGAAGACATCATTATAAGGCTCTCTGTCTTCTCATATGGGCTGACCCCCTGGTACCAGAATCACCTTCCTCTCACACATTCCATTGCTGGAGCCCAGAGCACCAAGGAAGCTTCAAAAACAAGTATGGCCAGGATGGATGGATCCTCTATATGCAGAAGGGGCAGCTTTGTTCAGAGAAGCTGCAGAGGGATGGGACTCATCCCTGTTTTTGTCTCTAAACCAGCTAGATGTTCTAGAAGGGACACCTGCCTTGAAGGAAAGGGATTCACCTGTCACATTTGGGTAGAGACCTGCCTATGAACCTGGAGTTCTGGAGCCACCGAGGAGGAAAGAGATTTGAGAGTACTTTGATAGTAGATTCCAACCACTGAGTAGTGCTACAAAGGCTGGGGAGAGGGGAGAGGGAAGGTCAGTGGCTTGTCTGGACTGTCCTGGGGCACTTGATGGGAGGGTTCAAGGTGAGAGGCAGGGCTGCTGAGTAGCAACAGGTTCTCCTCCACATGCTAATGCTATGCAGGCAGCTGAAGAGATAGAGCACAAAAGATGATAAATGCCCTAACCACAGAGGTAGGATCTTGAGGGTCACAAAGGCCTCTGGGCTCCTTGGCCACTCGCTTGTCTTAAACAAAGATGGAAAAATAACATTGTTATCTTCCAGGTCCCAATCTATACATACTCCCATATCCACCCCTCAGTAATGATGACCAGAAGTGACCTAGTGAGCCCAGGACACACAATGCATAGCCCAGGTTCTCAATGCCATTTGATGGGAGAGACATTCCAAACCATAGTGAAGCTGAGGCCTTCATATAAAAGCATGGGTTCAAGTTTTTAAGATGAGAGAAAGGGCCTTAAAAATTATTCAATCCAGGTGTGGTGGTACATGCCTGTAATCCCAGCAATTCAGGGGCTGAGTCAGGAAGTTAGTGAGTTTTAGGGCAGTATCCCCAACCTAATGAGACCCTGTCTCAAAATGAAAAACAAAAAGACAGTTATTGCTCAGTGGAAGAGCACCTTTGGATCAATCTTTGACACACACAAAAATGTTATTAGTTCTAAATTGATTTATTGAAGGAAAAATGCAACCAATTGAATTGATGAGCATTTTAAGAAATTGCATATTTGAGTGAAAGGTGAGGCTGCATATATTAAGAAAGGAGGAAAAAATTAAGAGGATGATGTGATATAATTAATGCTCCAAATATTCTGAAAAATAATTGTTCAGAACATTGTATCCAGTAAAGCAAAGATGGCTTTGGCCATGAATGTATATTTTGTACATTAAAATAAATATTATGTGAATAAATAACCACTGTCTGATGGTGAATCTGTTGTGAAATATCATCCAAACATGTTGACAATAAAAGCAAAACAATGTTCCAAAGAAGTGGGGAAAGTGAATCTGTACTGTCCATTTCATGCAGAGGTCAGATATTGGTGGGGGATGAGAAGGAATCATGAAGATTAGGGAAGAAACAGTATTAGGATCATCATGTGAACACATCACCATGTAGTGGTGTAGTCCTTTGTCCGGGATGGCCATGATCTCTATATTTAAATGTCAATTACATTTAAAGTCATGGGGTATAATAATATTTATGTATGCAGGGCCACCATTATTGCGTGGATCAGGAGACAGATTCTGGGACTCGCCTGACACTCGGAACAACACCACCACTGGTACTGGATGCCAACCTCTCCAAAGTGGGGAAAAGGTCATCATGTGGGAAGTGTGCTGACATGCCCCTCGCATTAGAATCATCTAGAGGATGTTCACCTTACATTACTGGGCATCAGTCACAAAATCAGATACAGTGGCTCTAAGAAGTTGCTTTGCTAAATGTGGTCCCCAAGCCAGCAGTATCTTGCTGAATCCTCTCAATCCAGAAACTACTCCCTACAAACCCTGAGAGTCACTACAGCACATTAAGCATGTAGAATACCTTGTCTATGCCACTAAAAGATGAGAATATTTGTATTCATGATCACCAGGTGATTCTGCACGTTAGCAGGGCTGAGAATCACAGCAACATCACCATTTCAGGAACTAGACCTCACCTAATCCCCATAAGGAATGCAGTGCCAACTGCATAAGTGATTTTTCTTGGTCCTGCGATGGAAAGGAGGGAGGGTATGTTGATATCTCACCCTGGAACTTTTGAATTCTCTGGTTCACTTGTGGAGCAACTTGCAGTTGGGGCTCCAGTTCCTTTGACCTTGGAAAATAGTTTTCCCAGCTTTGATTGGGTCTGATGTCCTTCTGAGATATGAAGTGGCACCACAAAGCCTCCCCACCAGGCTCCTTTCCCAGGGAATCCAACTGGTTGAGGCAGTAGATGCCTCCACACTTCAGGTACATGTAAACTGAAGCTTTAACACAGACATCCATCAGCAGCTGGGTGAAAAAAACTCACAGTGGTACACCCATAGAATGAAATATTATTCACCAGAGTAAAGGTGAAGTAAAGGTAGGCGAGGCAGACAGGACATTTACATACTTCTAGTAAGAGTTTAGCCAAGTTCTATACTGACAGTAGGTGGAAGTGAATTTCCATGAATTGAATGATTATTATTTGAGACAAGTGACAACTTTGATATGTGCAGTCATTGTTTTGCGACATTTTCATTGCAAGACAATAAGCATATAAAGAGATTGGAAGTTCTATTTGAATTGAAAGTCAAACATGGTCACTGTACTTTGAAGTGAGGAAGAAGAGGAAGGGTCCCTGTTCCTGTCTTAGTAGATATGCCTTGACACATACCCAGGCATCATCTCTTTCAGAAGCAGTGAAGGTGTTGTCATCTCACCATGACCTTGGGAACCCTAACAGACATCATGGATACAAATACATCCTCTCAGCAGCCTCTGAACTGAATCCACCACTCGCTGCCTACCACTGCTAGCTAGAGTGGAGCATCCAGGGTAACAAACACTTGGTGCTCATCCTGAAAGCTCTTGTAGAACTGAGTACTTACCAATTTTCTCCCACCTCCCCAGTCCTCACTGTCATTGAGAGACATCTGACAAGGGAAAAAGAAATACACAACAGGAGACTGACTCACCTGCTCTGCTGAAATTTTCCATCTTCTAGATTCTTTTAGGGTAACTCAGGTCAAGTGTCAGGAACACACCAACACTTTCTTTTTGGGCAATCCCCACCTCTTCTTCTCTGAGCATGCCCACTCCCACCACCATAACTTAATGAGGTTTTGATAAAATTATAACAGGGAAGGATGTTTCTATTGGTGATCCCTCT